TAAAAGTGATTCTTGGGCCTTCTGCTTTGTTACCACTCACACCCTGGAAATCAATGTGTGGTCAAGAGCCATTGACACATGCCTCACATGCGCCTTCTGTTTGTGTTCCTCTGTTTTGTCTCCCAAATACAGTGATTTTAGAGCGGTCAGTTACTGTTATTTGTTGGCATTGAACACTTTAAGCTGCTACTACATCTACACCTGCCATACATAATGCAGAGGTGAAAGTAACTGTGTAGGATCCCTGTGAGATAGTAGGTAGGTACTGTTGGCTGTTAAACATCTCCTTGTTTAATAGGTCATGGCACAGAAAGATTTAAAAGCAAAGCTGGTTCCATTAAATTGAGGGGAAAATTCCCTTAGATTTAATGTGGTGGGTACATTCTTAAGGACTTGATTACACTCAAAACAAGTTTATCAGAAGTTTCTGCATCTATGACTAAAGATGTAGTTATCCAGACTTCCAAGGCTGGGCTTTAAATAACTGCAGTATCATCCATTCTGTCTCTTCCACGTGTACCTGTATGGGGTGTAGGAAAGACTAGGAGAAACTGGAAGTGCTGGAATTTTCTTTGGAAGTTTGTTTTACAACATGTATCCTTTTCAGAGTTGCACATTTCAGCTGAAGTGCAAAGCAAATGGAAGTCTTTGGCATTTCACCTTTGCTTGCCTTGTGCTTATTTTGTGTTTATTCCATGCCCACAGTGAAAATAGAGCTCACAAGGAAATAAATTGGAGATTCATCAGTTTTGTTGGTGCATAAGTTCAGTGTGAATCGCCATCTAGTGTGTACTTAAGACATCACATAATTACAGACCGATTTGAATGAAAAGGATAAACAGAGTGCCCTCAAAACACTTTGTAGCAAAGTGCCCTCAAAATGCTTTCTAAATAGTGGCATTTTATTTCTGTAAGCAGGCAAAGTGCAATATAAAATGTACAGGAATCAAGAGATAGAGATTTAGAAAAGGACTGGGAAGTGAAAGTTTAGAGATGAGATCCTTTCATCAGCTGACAAATAGAGGACAAAGATAATGAAAAAACTGTGTACAATCTCTTTGCCAGAAAAGGAGGAACACTTTAAGAATCACATAAAATAATGGGGATAAACAGGGAGGCACAGAAACAACCTATTTATTCAAGATGGTTTGCAGTAATTTATCCAACATCACAAACTAGACAGCATCTAATATCTGGCTGTTTTTAAATGTATTTTCTTTCATTTCAGATAACTGTTTCCTGTAGGCGTGCATCTGATTTTTTTCCCCACTGTTTAATAAAACATCATTTATCATGAGAACATTTATTAAACCATGGATTGCTCAGTGTTTGCAGATTCTAAGTTCACCTTGCAGATTATTCCATGGATGCAACAAGATTCTTACATCTCAGATTATTTCGGATTATGACTCTATAAACCAGTGTAAAAAGGAACTGCCAGAATATTTCAATTTTGCAAGTGATATCTTAGATGAGTGGACACAACTGGAAAAGGTAGTATTTTTCTTTTATTTCATAGGTGTTGCAAAAAATCTTAGATGATACAAACCAATTTTTCTGATGGATACTGGATAACATTAGCTGCAGAGTAGAATGCACTATTTTATTTTCTTTGTCAGAAATATAGGTATCACTTTAAGAGACTAGTTGCCAGGAATTATTTGCTTAGTCTGGAGTTACTTTGGATTGAAATTAAACCTTTTAAGGATTGTCTTCTTATTTTAATATCTTCTGTTGCATTCAAGGATGGAAGACGACCGGCAAATCCAGCTTTTTGGTGGGTAAATGAAGAGGGAGAGGAGGTGAAGTGGAGCTTTGAAGAGTTGGGATTTCTGTCTAGGAAAGCTGCTAATATACTTTCCGAGGCATGTGGTTTGCAGAGAGGAGACAGAGTTTTAGCAGTTCTGCCTCGTGTTCCTGAGTGGTGGCTACTGAATGTAGCCTGTATGCGAACAGGTGAGGAACCGTACTGATCTCTTGGATGCAGAAAGGAAATAAATAGAAGATACAAAAAATATGCTAAATTAATTTGAAAAAAAAATGTGAACAGGAATATGCTGCTGTGCCCTGTACAATTCAGCTTTTGCACAGAAGGAGAATTGGCAGCACCCACACACGAACCAAAGCGACATTGTACTAGGTGCTGAACAGACACGGTGCAGTTAAACGGCATTCTCAGCTGAAGCCAGTGAAGGCTGAATGGTTACAATCTAAGGCCAGATTTGACCAGATACATTATCAGGGTGGACAATTTTAATGCAGTAAGTTAAATGACCGGACGGGTGTCCAGGTTTCAGTGATTAAACCATGACAACTGGTTAATAATTCAATACAATATTTTTTTGCTCTGCTGTTACAGTTTTGCAAATTCTTAGGAAGAATTTTACCCATTGCATTTTTAAACTGCTAAACATCCATGGTGGAACAATTCAGCATCAACAGGGACATGATCAAGTTTTTTTGTCCCACTTCTAAGCTCTGTGATTCTTGCAGGTTGTAAATGGGGCTGAGACTCAAGGAATACAATTCTGTTGTATCAAAGATTTTCTGAACTGTGATGTGGGAATATCAGTCAGTATCTCCGTGCCTCAGTTTCCCAATTGTAAAATTTAGTAGACACCTGAAAGTGCAAGAAAACTGAAATCAATTTGTAGGTCAAGACTTTTGAAATCCTTGGAAAAAGGAGATATAGAAATGCACTAAGTTGATTTTTCCCCCCTTCTGAAAATGTGATTTCAATCACATAGTACTCAGTATACAAACTTAGGTTTGTTCACAAAATGAATCCAAGCTTGAGGGATATGTTGACTGAGCAATGTATGTAGGCTACCTGACCTCAATCTGTTTATGCCATATCAAAAATACTAATTCGTTGTTAAAATGAATAATGGCTTTATTCCAGTTGTAAATA